AAAGTCTTAACCAACCACAAGAACTTGGTTTACTTCTTTAAAACCAGACAGCTAAACCAGAGACAGGCCAGATGGGCCTTGGAACTGGCTGACTATACCTTGATCATTGACTACAAGCCTGGGAAGATGAATGTGGTACCTGACACCCTGAGTAGAAGAGCTGATCTGACTCCTTCCTCTACAGAAACTAAGGACCACAACACACATGTACTCCTTGACCCGGCCAGCCTAGGCATCCAACTGATGTACATGAAAATCATGGCCCGCAAACCTGACGCAATTGAGGCGCAGAAACAAGACAAATACTCAGCAAACCTTGTTGCTGATTTGAACTCAGACCCAGAGAGCCGCCATCACAAGAAAGGATTTGCGCTGAAAGGATCCACCCTGCTATTACACAACCGGATCTATGTATCAGAAGGTGAAACAAGGACCAAAGTACTCATTGACTATCACAACTCAGAGATGGCCGGCCACCCTGGCAGACTCAAGACACTCAGAGGAATCAAGAAGAATTATGCTTGTCCCCAACTGGACAAAGATGTGGCTGCCTACATCAAAGGCTGTGAGACATGTGGAAGAACCAAAACCTGTAGATCCAAACCTGAAGGCCTGCTAAGACTGCTAGACATACCTGTGGTGCCCTGGCAGTCCGTTTCAATGGACTATATTGTAGAACTGCCTCCCTCCAATGTGTTTAACGCCATCCTGGTCATGGTAGATAGGTTTACTAAGATGTCCTATTTTGTCCCTACCACCACTCACTGCACCGCTGCAGAGACAGCTAGACATTTCCACGACTGCATCCTAACTCAACACGGCACTCCATCGGAAATTATCACTGATAGAGGACCACAATTCACCTCCAAATACTGGACTCAGGTGATTAAGGACTTGGGGGTAAAGTGCTGTGTATCAACCTCCTACCACCCGCAGACTGACGGCCAGACTGAACGTGTGAACCAAATACTTGAACAATACCTATGATGCTATGCCAACGCCAACCAGAATAACTGGGCCAAGATGCTACCCATGGCACAGTATGCCTACAACAGTAAAGACCACACTTCCACGGGAATGTCCCCCTTCAAGGCCAATTATGGATTTGACCCATCTTGGGATCCCAGTATTGGCAGTAAGGAAATAAACCCATCAGGACAAACCTGGATTGAACAGATACACGACACCCAACAACCCTGTTTGAAGAATCTGACCCGCGCTGTCCAGACTTATAAGGCTTTTGCCGACAAAAAGAGAATTCCTGGGAAACCATTGAAGGTAGGGGACAAAGTCTATCTGGACTCTTGTAACGTGCCTCTGACTGTTCCCTGTTGGAAGTTAGCCCACAGAAGAAGTGGCCCCTACAAGATCACCAAACTAGTGGGTGAAGTAGCATTTGAAATAGAATTACCCCCTTGTGGAAAATACACAACGTCTTCCACCGCACGCTTCTATTCAAGAAAGAGGGGAACTCACTCCCCCACCAGAAACTCAAGACTGAGCCCCCTCCCATCCAAGTAGGACGCTCTGAAGAATACGAAGTTGATTATGTTCATGGAGACCGTACCCACTATAAAACCCTCCAGTACTATGTCAAGTGGAAGGGATACCCACCTGAGGAAAGCACCTGGGAACCATTAAGCAACCTACCCAATGCCCAACTAGCAATCCAACAATACCTTGAGAAGAAGGCCAGGAAAGAAGGGACCCCTGGGAAGGAAGGGGATGATGTCATGAATGACATTTCAATACTTGTATTGAAACCCCAAGAGTTAAGCCCCGGTTCCCAGGAGGCGGATCCAACCTGCCAGACCAGTCCAGGACCCGCCAACCCGTTAAGAGACGGGCTCAAATTGGTAAATTACTCTGCGATCCACCGGCCTACTACAGAGGACCCTCCAAAGATTACTCAAGTCACACAAAGTGGACGGGAGACTGCCCGCTTGTTAAATTGCAAACCCGAGTTAACGAGTTACTCTGAGACCCGCCAGCCTCCCAGAGACAATTCCCCAAATGGTCATCAGATTGATGCCAGCCTTGAGCCACCAAAGACCCAAACCTATGCAGAGGTTGCAGCTTGCCTTAAGGAGGTTAAGGCAAAACCTATTTTCAACCTTGCCAATGACCACCAGCAACTGCCAGTCTCCTGCCCAGAAGGGGTAGTGCAATGGACTACTCAGGTGACATAGTGAACAGTGGCGGCAAAACAAAGTGTCGCCTTTCCAATTTGCCAGAACAGGCACAACCTGGATCTGCCACCCTCAAGACCCCAAGCCAAGACCTGTGTCCCGCCAGTGCCTTGTCTGTGAACCTGAACCCTGCAAAAATTGAAGAAGCAAAGTCCCAGGGTATAAAAACCCTGGCGGTACAGCAAAAACCCCATTGTCATTTTTGATAATAAAGTTTTATGAACCTTTGGTTTGAAAAAATCTTACCCTATCTAGTCTTAGTGATCTTCCATCTTAATTCCAGTCAAGTAGACCACCAGGCTGCTGCCCTTCCCCAAGACTAACCTGCCAAATTGCCCCAGGCAATATACCGTCCCCCAGGAGCCCCTTTTGGACCGGTGCATTTTACTGAATACCCCCCCAACCTGGCCTATTCAGAGTACAACTTGGAAACCATCATCATTGCTGACCCTTTGGCAAGGACTAGAAGTACCAAGTACATAGGACACAAAGGAAAGAGGGTCAAGATTCCGCCCTTACTGTTCAAAGACAAGTACAATTATCTGCCTGTCTACTTTTTCCCTATGACTCCTCCTTTAACCCCACAACCAGACCGCCCGTTGGAACCCACTGCCGCAGCCGAGACCACCTCTACCCAACTGTTTGGAGTACTTTACATTACTTTGACATCTACATTACTTTGACAGGTTTGGTAGATTCCATGGTCCCCAACTCTGGACCTTGGTCCTTACTCGGGCGATCTGTATCTTATATTATCAAGTTAGCACCCATTATATGGTGGGCCCTACCCACCAGCTCGGCCGTACCTCACCCCGAACCGCCCAATGCCTCTACCTACAACTGGCTTCCTGACATATATAACATATTTGATGATTTTGGTGTCCCTGGGTGAGATGCTATTATCCATCCACAAAATCATTGCATCTAGGGTAAACCTTGTCTTGATCCAGTCTGCTGCTTTGATTATGAAAGATTTTTTCTTTCATTTGCCCCATTGGTCTAAGGTGATGTGTGTTTGCCAAGATTGCTATGGATGTGAGTTGTGATGCCCAGATTCTTTCACTTGTCAGCATCCTTAATAGTGTACCCCTTGGTATCAGTGGAAATGGCTTCTAAGCAAGCTACCCAATGACCCATTTAATGCTTTGGAAGGTGCTGAAGTACTCTGGGAGCTTTTCATCCGCCATAAGGATGCTTCTAAGATATTTTGCCAGTGTGGAGGGGATGTATGCTTGGAAGAACTCTATTGCCTCAAAGTTATTGAAGTCACATGTTCTCCAGCTCTTTATGTCTGCTAGCAGGATGTGGTTTCCCAAAGTGTACTTGACTTCTTCAAATGGTATCTTGGTTTCCCTTTACTTCTCTGCAAGTTGGAGTTTCCTTACTCCACCTTGACAGAAGATCTGGATTCACTCAAGAGACATCCCTCTTCCAATCCATTTCATGGCTAAGCCAGGAGAGAGACTGGCCCTCTTTCATGTCACAGCAGTCAGAGCATTGAACCCCTGTCCATGTCAGCGGATGATTTGACTTACTGTCAGGGCCCAGTGAGTCTTGATGGGTCTGCATAGTGACCAACTTACACAGATTTGATATAAACTTTTCAAGATCAACTAGATCCAAGTTTATTTTATTGGACTAAACTTAGAATGATCACACGGGGATCATTAAAGACAGCATCTTTATATACCATTGAGTTGGCCCTATTAGATTCTTCCTGAATCTTCTGGACAGTTTAAAAGGCTCTGCTGATGTCATCAGGCTGGGGTTCTGGGCCATCTTCTGGATATTTTTGATCATGTTCTTTAGTAAATCCTGCACATTGTGTTTTGCACCTGTATATCATTAAAAAATATCCTAGAACTATTCTCCTGGTGTTTGGCTTCATGCTGTGTGCTTGGACGTTCAAATCCGTCCAGTGGTTGCTGAGTTATGCTTGAATCAAGATCTGCTCCAATTCCTGTGCCTTGGCCGCATATTCCCACCATTTCACACTGGTTAGGTAGCTCAGCTGAGAGCCAAACTTTAAGAAACCATAACTCATCACCTAGAGCAGCTAGGAGAGACATCAAGCTGGCATTGTGATTGCAGAGAGCAGTAGAGTTTCTCCAAGGCGTTTTTATAACACGCCATGTGTCAGGACGTTTCCTGACACTTACAGAGAAGACCAGGCTTGCCCAAGTATTGGCTTCATCCTTGCTCACATTGTGAAGTTCAAGGTTCACTTGTGAAAATGTGCTGTGGGGATTGACAGTATCCTGCTTACAGTGTCTACTTGGGCCTGCTCTAGGTGGGCTTGCAGATTGTCTTGCCACATTTGATATATTTTTCTGGCCCCATGAGAGGGGCCATCTACCCTATGACTATGTTCAGAAACTGAGTCAATTCCTGAAAAATTGTCAGCTTCCATTGGCTCAGGTTCAGGGCCACTCTCATCTAATTGGTTGTTCTTGAAAGAAGTGCTGAGTGGGGTACTGGCTTCCACTTACTTATCAGGTGGAGGGTTAGAGATACCTGGTTCTGCAGGGGTGGCCTCTGCAGTGTTATTAGAAGAGTCTGCTTGTCCTGTATCATGGGAGGTGCACAGGTCCCTCTCTATGAGGTGGACTTGCCTTGAGTCTTCAGGCTGCACTGGTTCAGGAGATAGCATCTTTTAACTTAATAAAAATCTACTTTAAACCTGATGTTGTATTTGCTTTTTAAAACCAAATTTCTATCTCAAAAGTGATTGTAATGAGAGAGAGAAGGTGGCTCAATCCATCTAATATATGTGGTGGATTAAAATTTTGTAACGCTTCCACCACAAAAATTGGGGATCTAGCTCAAATGGTAGAGTGCATGTTTCGCATCCGTGAGGCACTGGGATCTATGTCCAGGTTCTCCAGCCAGTGTTTTTATTTGTTTGAAATAACTTTGCCACAAGGTAATTTTTCATAAGGTCTTGAGGATAAAATTGTGAGGCCTTGGGATAAACTTAGGTATAATGTCCCAGTGTATTTTATCTTGGCTTTCCAATATAGGTTTTAAGTAAATCGAGAAATTTATTGTACCCATTGCAAGTCTCAAAAAGCAGGCTCCTGTTAATCAACTCCCATTTATTAAGGTACTTTGCTCAAAACAGATATGTAACACAATTGTAATATGCCACAATAGAAGCAGTCTCAACTATCCTCATACTGCTTATTAAACCTTTGAAGTCAGGTTTTCGTTGAAATAAAATACTTCTTTTGAAAAATACTCTACCACCTGCTTTTCAATTTCACCTGGTCGCTTCCTAGATTGAGATTTTAAGTAAACCTTTCTCTCCACTGTAAATAGTTTCATCCGTCTTTGACACCAATAAAATGCTATCTTCATAGTTACTGACGAAAAATAAAATTTATGAACTTTTGCTTATATTTTTCTTGCTCGACAGTTTTTATTATGGTGAAATGGCTTATTTTTTAAATAAACCGTCAGATGAGCAAATGGATACCTTTTTACTCTTAGTTGTGCGAGCATGTTTCTTTAGCTATCAAGGCCAGCCAAATAATTCCTTTGCTACTTTAATGACCAAACAGATTTTAAATCATATTAATTGATATTCGGCAGATCTCGCCCAAGTTTGATGTTAGGGCTTAAGCTATCTCCAGCCTTTCGAACCGGCCTTGTTGCCAAGGGCAATTTTTCCTAGTTCCCTTAGGATTTCTAATCCCTATTCTCATCCCAGTAAGTGCCTGTTCGACATGAACTGATATCAGCCCCGCAACCTGTCCCGCTTGATTTTAAAGCGATTGAAAACAAATGGCTGGAACGTTGGAAGTCCAAGGCACCTTCGAGCTCTGGAACTCTTGGCAAATACTATGTTTTAGCTATGTTTCCCTACCCGTCAGGGAACATGCACATGGGCCATGTGCGTGTTTACACCATCTCTGATACCCTTGCAAGGTTTCGTAGAATGCTTGGTCATGAGGTAGTATATAAAGGTGATGATTTAATAGTTAGGTGATTCATCCTATGGGATGGGATGCCTTTGGACTTCCAGCAGAGAATGCGGCCATGGAGCGAAACATATCGCCCGAGACCTGGACTACCTCCAACGTGGCAGCAATGAAGGAGCAATTCCAACAATTGCATGCGTCTATTGATTGGGATAGAGAAATCAACACTTCCCAACCCGAGTACTACCGATGGACTCAGCACTTGATGGTGCTGCTGTTCAAGAGAGGACTTCTATATCGCAAGCAAGGTGAAGTCAATTGGGATCCTGTCGATAAGACGGTGCTGGCGAATGAGCAAGTGGATGCTCAAGGGCGTTCATGGAGGTCAGGCGCCTTAGTCGAGCGTCGTTCACTGACGCAGTGGTATATGCGAATTACAGAGTATGCCGAGGTAGATATCTTTCTTGCTGCTATTAATGACTAGCCCCTTCTCAATGACCTTAAAGGCTTGAGTGGATGGCCTGAGCGTGTCAAAACTATGCAGGCCAACTGGATCGGAAAATCCCAGGGCTTTACCTTTGCCTTTTCCCTGGCTGAGGGTGATGGCCAAATACAGGCCTTCACATCGCGACCTGAGACTGTGGTGGGTGCCACCTATTTAGCAGTGTCCAAAGACCACCCCATCCTAACGAGAGTATCTCCTCAATTCGCTTCTAAAGTACGAAGCTTCGCTGCCAAAAAGCAAATCGAAAAGCACTCGGGTATAGCAATGCATATACTTCGCAGCTAATGAATAGGGGTTGATACTGGGCTTGTGGCCATTAATCCTGTTACGGGAGCTAGAATGCCCATATATGTTGCCGACTATGTGTTGGCTGACTATGGAACAGGGGCGGTGATGGGGGTGCCCGCCCATGATGTAAGGGATTATGGGTTTGCGATGGAAAGAAAGGATTTGCGTGACTTCCCTAGGATCGTTGATGATCCCAGTGGGAATACAGAATTGCCTTACACTGGCAAGGGGCCCATGAGCGCTGCTCTTCAACACGAATGGGTTGGATTAAGCAACACTGCTGCAGCAGAGGCGATCATCAAGTTTGCCACCGAACGCAAGTTTGGCCATCCCGTGACTCAGTATCGTCTGAGGGATTGGCTGATCTCTCGCCAGCGCTACTGGGGAGCACCCATGCCCTTCATCCACTGCGACACATGTGGAGTTGTGCCCGTCCCAGAAGCACATCTTCCTGTCCGCCTCCCACCTGCCCACACCATCAAGCTCACTGGGCATGAAGGCTCGCCACTGGCTTCTGTCGAAGATTTTGTCCAAACGACATGTCCCAAGTAAGTTCTTTCAATCCGCTATAACCAGTAGTTGCTCAGGAAAAGCCAAACGAGACACCGACACAATGGACACCTTTGTGGATTCATCCTGGTACTTCTTACGCTTTTTAGATCCCACCAACCTCACGAGGTAGATATCATTTGGCTATCTCACAAAGTGTAGTCCCGTTGCCGTAGAGAAGATGGCAAAGATGCCGGTGGATCTGTATGTCGGAGGAGTCGAGCATGCCATTCTCCATCTGCTCTATGCTCGTTTCATTTCCAAAGTTCTTAGTGAAGAATTCCCCAACGCTGCCTTTTCCGCCCAAAAAGCGGAACCCTTTAAACGGCTGCTTACCCAGGGAATGGTCCAAGGAAAAACATTCAAATCCAGCACTACTGGAGTATTCGTCCGGCCGAACCTCGTCAATTTAAAAGGTAACCTAGCCTTTGTTTCTCCCTGATCTACTAGACCCTGCGAAACCTGTTCACTTGCAGACCGGTGAGCCCCTCTCCATATCCTTTGAAAAGATGTCCAAATCAAAATACAATGGCGTTGACCCCAAGGTACAGCTTCATTGGCTTTCTTAACCTTTAGGCCACCACAGATAAGTTTGGAGTCGATGCCACTCGCCTCTATGTTTTGTTCAAGGCACCCCCCGAGGATTCCCTGGAGTGGGATGACCAATCTGTAGTCGGCATGCAAAGATTCCTCGCAAAGATCCATAAAGCCGCTTCCCAACACAAACCAAACCTTTCCAAAATCAACTTGCCTGAAATGTGTGATCGACAGAGAAGCCTGTACCGTTTCATTCACCAAACCATCAACGATGTCACTTGCGCCTTAGAAAGCGACTTCAAACTCAACAGTGCCGTGAGCCATCTGATCAAGCTCCTCAATCGCCTTACAGACGAACACCACCTTTCTCGTTACCCCGTCTACCATCACGGTCTTGCTACGCTGATCAAGCTTCTTGCGCCCATGGCTCCAACTTCATCTGAAGAATTCTGGGAACTGATTCATCCTTCTTCCCCACCATCTGTCCTATCCGAGCAATGGCCCAAAGTTGACCCCCTTGCTCTTAAAGACGATAATGTATTGTGCGTTGTCCAAGTTAATGGCAAGCGTCGTTTCAACATCACCTTGGACAAGTCAAAGTTTCCGCCCAGTGCATCTCAACCTCAAGCGTTCCACGACTTTGTAAAGGCAGCAGTCCTGTCTGAACCAACTGCGACAAAGTATTTGCCGGTTCATGACACAAACCTTATTAAGCGGGTGTTTGTCTTGGATTCTGGAAAGCTAGTCAACTTTGTAGTTGCTTCCAAAATTCCCAAAAAGGTGGTTTAATCTTTGTTAACATCCTGATTTGGAAAAACGACTAATCACATCCTTGATTTTATAGATAAACACGTTGTTGTGAAGTTAAAATTGATTAAAAAATCTCTTCAGACACATAAAAGTACGTCCGTGTTCCTGAATCCCAAAAAGCAAATAGCAACCCTTTGAAAGCTTCAAACTGTATTCATCATCTTAAGCATATAGGAAGTCGAATATATCTTTTACATGGATGTATGAAAAAATCTGATTTCAATCTGTGGTTTACTGCAGGATTAGGTTAACAGTTTTATAGTGTAGTGTTGCAACTGAGGTCAACAACTCATCTGAAATGTATCTTACAATACACATGTTGTGCTCGATGAGCTACCCCATGCGTTTCTAACGACATCTCACCTCCTGCCTTGAATGTCAAAATACAGGAAAAGATTTCCTTGGAAGGAGCAAAGCCAATTCCAGCTAAACTCCCCCAATAAGTTATTTAAAGCTCAACCCCTATTTGGATTGTGTCATCATGCCACCCCCTTGTGGCCCTGTGGCCACTCTTTACAGCATAAGATCTTTTATTTCTCAATAAAGATATTATCTTATTCCAGATCTCTGTCACTTTCTGGACTGCTGTCTTCCCCAATCCAAATACTGAAATATAATTATTCAGTTCCAACAGTGGTAGCAATAGTAGGCTCAATTTATGGCCTATCTTCAATAAAATACCCCCAAGGAAGGACAGAGTGCTGGCTGTATGGCTAACTCTCACCAGGGACCCTTCCTGCTTATCCCTGAGGGGATATCCTGGTAGGATACATTATATATCAAGTCCAACTCATGTTAGCCAGTATCTACAATCAACTCCTAATAGGATAATGTGACATCAGTGTCACCTCACCCCAGTCAGATCTCTCTCAACAACTGCTGGACCTGCACCTGGAACCCTTTGTGGGTGGTGTGGAGGGCGTCAACATTGTAAGTTGGCCTCACTCCACAAAAACCCATCCCAGAATACCTCCCTGTCTGGCAACTGGCACTTGTTGCCACTTCAGAAGCCATAACTGATGGGAACAGCATGTTCCTAACCTTGCCATCAGTGGGTAGAAGCTCCATGACTATAAATGTGTACCTGTGGGGCACTGCATGCCCATTAGCAACTGGTATAAAGCCTTTGTAGAGGCAAACATTCAAGCCACTATGAGATTTCAAAAGACTGCAAGTCCACTTCCCTGTCCTGTCTTGCTCCTGGAAGCACTCACACTCAATTAGGGTGCCACTGGCCCTGGAAACAAGACAATGATAACAAGCACCCTTGTGAGG